GGCGACTGCGGGCGGCTGCGCTTTCTCCCTCTGCCAGCCGCGCCTCGACGACGGTCAAGCGCTGGCCGCCCCAGGCAGCATTCGCGAGGCAATGCTGCGGTCAGCCCTTGTACCCCGCAGGCCCGGGGTCTGCCCCGCATAGCGGAGGCCTCCCTCGGCTTGAACTGCCCACCTGATCCCCCTCATCAACTTTTTTCCTCCTCCGCCTGCTCCGCCTCACGCTCCTCCTTCCACTCATCCTCTGCTACATGCTCCCTCTCCTCCTCCTCCTCCTCCTCCTCCTCCTCCTCATTCCTCCTCTTCCTCTTCCCCTCCTCCTCCTGCTCGTTCCCTCCTCCTCATCCTCTTCTTCCTCCCCCTCCTTCCTTCCCATTACTCTCTTCCTCCTCGTTCTCTTCCTCCTTCCCCCCTTTACCACATTTCCCTCCTCCTTCCTTACCCTTCTCTTTCCCTCCTCCTGCTGCTCCTCCTCCTCCTCCTCCACCTATCCCTTCTCCTTTCTGGTCCTCATCCTCATCTCTCCTCGCCTCTCTCCTCCTCTACCTTCCCCTTCTCCTTGTCGGCGTGCGTGCGACGCTGTCGTCTTCGTCGTCTTCGTCGTCGTCGCCGGTCTCGAGAATATGGAGAACGAACAGAGAAAAGAAACGTCGTAGTTAAGCCGATGCCCTTGCCTCTTTCCCTTTCCTGACGAAGGGGGGGAAAGCGGGGGGGCCGGGTCCAGGTATACCGCCCCCCGGGGAGTGGTCCCACCTGTGGGCAAGGGGGACGCTCGCCATCGCTCGGACGTCCATTCCCTGTGCATTTTTCGGTTTCGTGCGTGTTTTTTTCGTCAAATGATCAAGGATGCTCCTCGATGGTCCTCGCCGAAGGAAAAATGCACACGTCCGAGCGATGCCGAGGACGAGGAGGGGCTCCCCTGTGGGGAGGGCGGCCCCGGTCCCGACACTGGCCCCGGCCCTGCCTTGCAATGGCCGTGGCCCCGGCCCCAGCCCTGGCCCCGGCCCAAGGGTCCCTGGGGAGGGCCCCCGGGGTCCCTGGGGAGGTCCTGCCTGCTCACAGTCCGCCACCGTGCCTCTGGGCATGGAGTTGTCCTTTGCCGATTCCCTGGAACCTCAGTCCTCAGTCCTGAGGAGTCTTCAAGAGGCCCAGACCCCAAGTTCGGAAATTTGGCGGAGCTCCTGGCGTGCCCCCTGTGGCTTCCCACGTGAGGCCTGGGCTCCGGGAAGTGTTGTCGCATGATTTTTTTCGAGCCCAAGAGGGTCCCGAGACGCCCAAAGATCAGCCCGAGACGCCAAAGATGGCCTTACAATGCCCCAAGATGCCTCCAAGAAGCCCCAGAGGCCTCCAAGAGGCCTCCAAGAGGCCTCCCAAGAGGGCCCCAAGAAGTAAACATCAGTGATTATCCTTGGTTTGTTTGGGGGGGCGTTCTCGCCTTTCAGCTTTCCGACGCTCCAAGGCGGCTGAAGGGGACCCCAAGATTACCCCCAAACGGCCCAAGAGGCTTCAAAGATGGCCCCAAGACGGCCTAAGAGTGCCCCAAGACAGTCCAGGAAGCGCCCAAGACGGCCAAAGGGGGCCCCAAAACAGTTTTAAAAGGGGCCCAGGGAGCCGAAAATCCGAGCCTTCCGCCCCAAGAGGCCCTCAGGAGGCCCAACGGTGCTAAAGGACGGCCCTCCAGATGCCCCCAAGAGGCCCCAAAAAGGCCCCAAGGAGCCCCGATTCGGCCCCCAAGAGGCCTCAAAACTCCCTCCCAAACGTCCCCGACAGGCCTCCCACGAGATCGAACGAACCGATAAGCTTCATTCATACGCACAACTCAGGCACGGTGGCGGGATGGGCCGAATGTCATTCGATCAACTCCACATCCACGCTGCACGTTCTCAACAACCATGCGATTCAAAGAGCCGCAAGTCAAACCGGTTGCAATCCACAAGCCGACGTGCGATATGCAAACTCATGAGGTGTCTCTGTGCTGCTCCTTCTTCCACCTTCCCTCCTCCTCGGACCTCCCTGTTACCTCTCTTCCACCACACCCTCCTCCTCCCCTCCTCGGCCCCCTCTCAGCCATGCTACTTTCTTCTTTTCCTTCTTACCAATCGTCGGCCCCTCACCCATTCTCCCGCTTCTCCTCCCCAGGATGCAGGTTAGGTGAGGTGGAGGGGGTCAGACGACACTAGCACGCGAAACAAATGACCCCGACGCCTACTAGCTCTCCCCGTCTTGGGAACCCAGTCTAGACTGGATTTCCGCACGCTGGCACGTAACTTGAAAACTCGTGCATCGCGCGGCATAACTAAGACGCTCGAGCTATTCCAGCTGCGAGCCGCAAGCCCAATCCTCCAAGCAGGATGAGAAAAATTGAGAGCGATCCACGTCTCCGCCTCCCCCCCCCTCGTCCTCCTCCGCCTCCCCCTCCCCTCCCCTTCCCCTCCCCTCTTCCCCCTCCCCGACCCCTCTTCCCCCTCTTCCCCCTTCTCTTCCCCTCTTCCCCCTCCCCCTCCTCTCCTCCTCCTCCTCCTCCTCCTCCTCCTCCTCCTCCTCCTCCTCCTCCTCCTCCTCCCCTCTCCCTCCTCCACCTCCCCTCTCCCTCCTCCACCTCCCTCTCTCCCCCGAGGCGCTTTGCGCATCCGCCCCCGCTTCGTGCTCGGGGGCCCCCTCTTCGGCGGCCCCCTCGAGGCCCGCCCTGGGACCCTCGCGGGGCCCGGCAGAGGCGCCAGCGGAGGGCCTGCGGAGGGCTGGCAGGTGGCCCGCAGGAGGGCCGGCAGATGACCAGCGGAGCGCTGGGCCTCCTCCTCCTCCTCCTCCTCCTCCTGCTCCTCCTGCTCCTGCCTGCTGCTCCTCCTCCTCCTCCTCCTCCTGCTCCTGCTCCTCCTCCTCCTGCTCCTCCTGCTCCTCCCTGCTCCTCTCTCCTCCTCCTCCCTCCTCCTCCTCCTCCTCCTCCTCCTCCTCCTCCTCCTCCTCCTCCTGCTCCTGCTCCTGCTCCTCCTCCTCCTCCCCCTCCTCCTCCTCCTCCTCCTCCTCCTGCTCCCCCCTTGCCAAAGTGCTTGTTTTTTGTCGTGAGCGCTGGTAGGGGAGGCGTGAGACTCGCGTTTTGGGGGCCCAGGTTGGCCCGACGGGGCCGTCGTGAAAATGACGAGACCCAACCTGAAATCTGACGCGAACTCCCGCTGCAAACATCCCACGAAATCGGCCGACCCCTTGTGGGTCTCTGGGCGTGTGAGATTATCCCCCCCCGACAATGCCCTCCCCCCCCCCCCCCCAGGGAACCCGAACCGGCAATTTGACCGCCCCCCCCTGGCCTGGCCCGACCCCGGACCGAACGCGTCATGGGGGAGCGGAGGGCTCCAAAGCGGGCCAGGAAGGCACCAAAACGCTCCCCAGACGGTCCCGGAGGGCCACGAGTCGCCGAAATACCGCTCCTTGACGCCCACGATGGCCTCCAGCATGCTCGCCTTTTCGGCTTTCACAACGTCCAAGACGGGCAAAGAAACCTTCAATATCGCCCCCGGACGGCTGCATGGCCCCCAAGGGGTCGAAGAGGGTCCAAAAACAGCCCACGAAGCCCCCAAGACAGCCCAAGAGGGCCCCCAGACGGCTCCAAGAGGGAGTCCAGAGGGCACCTTTTCAAGCCTCCGGCCCCAAGACGCCCCCAGCCTTCCCCGAGAACCCAAGAGGCCTTGATGGACCCCCAAGGGAACCTCAAAGGCCTCCAAGAAGCCCCCAGGATGCCACCAGAAGGCAACAAAAGAGAACCAGGAGGTACGATAACAACAACGAAGCAACAGAAACGATGTCGAGCGCCGTGTCATGATTCGGACAAGCCTCGTGAAGTGCAGTCCTGGAGGCGCAATAGTGCATATGGGGGTCGGCGGATGTGGCGTATGCCTATAGAATGTGGGCCCTCAACATCAAAGACGCGCCTCGCCAAAAAGCGCCGGCACACCCGAGTTCCGGACTGCTCGAGCCTTACGTTCCCCCGAACTGCAAGCACTTCTTCCGGGGAAGCTCGTCAGTCCAGCGTGGGCCGCAGATCCGGAGAGCCAAGGATTGCAAAAAAACGAAGGATTGCAATCCTTCGTTTTTTTTGCAATCCTTCGTTCAAAAAAGGTTTTTTTTTTTTTTTGCAATCCTTCGGTTTTTTTGCAATCCTTCGAATCGAATCGAGACGTCGGATCGGCGATCGAAATCCATCGGATCGGCGGACATCGGCAGCCGCCTCGGTGGCCATCGGCAGGCCGGCGGGCCTCTCGTGGAGGAACCGGAGCCCCCCTCGGAACCCCCGGGTCGAATCGGAAGTCGGGATCGGGCCCATCGGAGTCGAACCGGGTCGGATCGGAGGAATCGAGAAGGAGCCCTGGCAAGTGGCGGCCGTGCGCGAGCGACCCTGGCGGAACAGCCGCGGCGGCGGGCCGCGGGGCCCGCGGGCCCCTCCGCGGCGCGGTCACGCCGCCGCCCTGCCCTCCTGGCGTGGTGGTGCTGACGGTCTGACGGTGATGATGCTGCTGCTGCTGCTGCTGACGACGATGATAACTGAGGCTGAGGATGATGATGACGATGATGACTGATGATGCTGCTGCTGCTGCTGCTGATGATGATGATGATGATGATGATGATGATGATGATGATGATGATGATGGTGATGGTGATGACGCTGGTGATGGTGGTAGTGGTGATGCTGCTGCTGGTGATGCTGGTGATGATGGTGGTGATGATGACGGTGGTGATGGTGGTGGTGATGGTGATGGTGATGGTGGTGGTGATGGTGGTGATGATGATGACGATGATGACGCCGATGATGATAATAATAATGCTGCTGCTGATGATGAGGATGACGGTCGTGGTGATATGGCGAAGATGTTGGCGGTGGTGATTGTGGTGGCGGTGATGACTGCGCTGTGCGCACGGCTCGGGGCGCGGTCGGCCTGATGACGGTGGTAATGATGACGTGCCGCAGTAGGCGGGGCTCCTGCGTGACTACCCTTCTCAGTACTTGTTCAATTATTGCTCTTCGTGCGAAATGTGATGAGCATCTCTACCCTTGCGTTTTGCGCCAACTGCCGGATCAATGGCCGGTTTCTCGTCCCATTTGGTCTGCGCCGTGCTGTCCACCAACAGCCACCGTACGATGGAGGAGGGGAAAGGGGGCGGGGATGGGGGACAGGAGGAGATGGAGCGTGCAGTTGCTTTTTTCTGGCGCCTCCCGGCGCCCCGAGCGACGATGCATCCAAGAACGTGGCTGGCTCGGAGCCGAAGCCAGCTCTATGCAGCTAGTCTCCCAACGCTTGACCTCCTCTCTCAGAAGTACCCCGAGCGGGAAAGGCGGAGGGAAAATGACTTCGTTTCCCGCTTCTGTCTTTGAGCAGGGACTGACCGTCCCGGCATTCCTATAGGACTACCACGACATGCTCTTCAAATCCAAACATGTCCACAACACCAGAACAATGTTCTTAGAACACAGGCCCGATGTGTCAAAACAAAACAGTCTGAGCCACACATGCTTTAAACAACATGTCTTGCAGACCACAGACGGTTCTTAGAACAGGCTGGCTCCAAGCTGCTCTCTGCAGCGCGGCGCCGCTCCCATCCTGGTCGAAAGACCCACCCGGTCCAGGCACCAGGGAGAATCCCAGATCGGCTCGGCCGCCGCCTCTGTCACCTCCACCCACTCGTCTCGCTGCAGGACGCTTTGGTGCTCGCGACTGTCCGATCACGCCGCTTTATTCGGGCGTTGGCAGAACTGGGTTTAGTGGAACCTGGTTTAGTGATCTGTATCGGGGGTGCCCCCCCGCCCCATTTCCGCTAACCAGAACTGCCGTCACCCGAGAAACACCAATTACGGCAAACCTGGTTTAGTGAATCTGGCCAACTGAGGGGCCCCAAGGCCCTACCACTAACCGGGTCCCCTTACCCAGGGTCCTGGCTATACCCGATTTATACTTCGATCCTACCACCTCCCCCGTGCGCCGGCGCGACCGCGCGCTGTCCCCCCCCTTCTTTCGGCACCTACCCACCGAGGCCACCCACGACCTCCACAAGCGCTACGATTGGGTCGGGCATGTCCTGCAACAGGCGGATCTTGAGAGAAAAAAACAAGTAGTCAAATCATATTCAAAAATGATCAAACTAGTGGAAGCATCGTCCCCAGACTACCTTTTTTTGTACTATTGTTGAACACTCCTCCTGTAGAGGGACCTGCCCGACTCGCCGCTACGACAGCCTCCAGCGCGCCTTCGCGGCCCCGCAGGTCGACCTCTCGCAGGCGGTCCCCGAGGTTTGGCCTGCGCCTGCCGCGCCGAGGGAACTCCCGCCGGCTCGGCGACGACCGCCCGCCCCCGCGCTGGCGCGCGGCGCTGGCGCGCGGCGCTGGCGCCTCGCGCGGGCGGCGCCGGGGCCGACCCGAGCCGAGGTGGCCGCGGTGGCACGCGGCCGCGCGCGCTCGGGCGGGCGTGGATGGGGCCAGGCCAGGCCCGCCGCCCTCGCCTCCGATCCTCCTTCTCCGCCTCCTCCTCCTCCGCCCTCGCCTCCTCCTCCTCCTCCTGTTCCCGCTCCCTGCGCCGCCGCTCTGCTCCCGTGGCCGGGCTGCTCTCGCGAGTTTTCGCGAGCGGGGCGGCGTTGTGAAGGCGCCGCTCCAAGAGGCAGCGGCCCCGGCCACCTTCCACCGCGCGACCTCCTCTGCGACTCCCGCCGCCCTCGGGCACGGCAACTTCGGGCGCGTCTCGGGGTGGCTCGGGGCCGTCCTGGGGCGCCGGGATTGCTGTCTGATCGCTGTGGGGGCCGATTTGCAGCCACCCAGCAGCGGGCCCGGCCCACACACACACACACACTCACCGAAACCACACCACACACACACCATACGCAACATACACACATGAACGCACACGCGCACACGCACACGCACACGCACACGCACGAGCACACGCACCGCACGCGCACGCGCACACGCAAACGCACACGCACACGCACACACACACGCACACGGCAGCACTCACTCTCACGGCCACACACACACACGCACGCACACACACATAAAACCCACACACAACACACAGACATCACACACACACACACTCAACAAACACACACACACACCACACACACACACCGCACAAACCATATACACACGCACACGCACACACAACACACAAAACACACACAACACACAACACACAAAACACGCCACACACCACACACACAACACAGTCCACACACAAACGCACACACGCGCACTCGCACACGCAAACCCCCCTCCACACACAAACAACAATCACACACACAACACACAACACACGCACACGCACGCGCGCACAGACACACACACACACCCAAACACACCACTCACACCAGACACGCCAAACACACGCAGACGCACGCGCACGCGCACATGCACACGCCCACACCCACTCCCACGCCCACGCCCACGAGCACGCCTACGCCTACGCCTACGCACACGCACCACACACGCACACGCACACGCACACGCACACGCGCACGCACACGCACACGCGCACGCACGCACACACACACACACAACACACACACACGCGCACACACGGACGCACGCACGCACGCACGCACGCACGCACCCACACGTACACACAACAAACAACAAGCAACACAGACCACACAACAAACAACCCACAATACACACACCACACAATACACACCACACACCTCGCATCTCACACCACACATATCACACACACCACAACACACACACATTTACCAAACACAACACAACACGCACCGCACACAACACACAACACACAACACACAACACACACAACACATAACATACAACACACACGCACACTCACACACACACACGCGAGACACACACAACACACAACACAAACATTACATTCATCACACACCACACACACCACACACAAACCACACAACACACAACACACACAACGCACACACATACATACACACATACAAACACACACACACACTATCCCTTATTACTGCTTCTCCTCCGCCTCTTGCCTCTTGCCTGCCTGAAGGTACATGGCGGAGCAAAAATTCGGAAGGGGGCCTCTCACCGGCTGGGCTGCGATCCACCCAGCCAGTGAGCCGCGACGGGGCTCCCCCCCCAGACCAGAAAAACGCAGCTGGGGGCGGGAGGTCCAGATGGGGTTCTGGCTATGGCCAGGCTTTGATATCTCTCGGGAACCTCCCCGCCTCCAGTGCTTTGAGAACTCTCCCCCCGTGCTCCGAGGTCTTCTCAAGGCAGGGCTTAGAGAGCATTATAAAGGTGGGGGCTGCGCGGCCTCCACGCCCGCGGCGCCAAAAGACGCCCCGAAACCTCTGGGGGCGCCTGTGGGTCGGGTGGGTCCTCGCAGGGGGCCCTGGGCACTCCAATCGGGCCCAGTCCTCCGCAGCCCCCGGCGGTGCCGTGGGGCATTTGGAGCACCTGAGGGCTTTGCTAGAATTGTCCGCCAAGCAATGGGTCGTGCTGGTGCAGAGCGCCGAAAGGAAATCGAGCTTGGCTAGTCTCCGACGCTTGCCTTCTTGCTTCCTGTCCTCCGCGCGACTGCAGCCATACATCAGGGCAGCATTCATGTCGCTGTGATGAGGGACCGTCAATGCGTGCTCCTGGGCCCCCCTACTGAGAGCGTCTACTCGGAGCAGTTCGGTGATGGCCCAGTCGGGGAGTTGGGCCTCTCAGGCGCCCGCCTCAACTAGCCTGTCCGCAACAAAATTGGCCGCCCCAAACTCGGAGCGACCCAGTAGTCGAACTGACGCAGCGTCGGGGGCGGGCCCATGGGACTTAACTTTGACGGCTCTCACCCGACGCCCAGCGCACTCCTGCCAGAACAGATCCGAGAAAAAGGGATTCTGAGCGTGGACCACGCGAGGTCCCGAAGTAATCCCAGAGGTCACGGAATCATTATCTCCGACACAGAAGGTCTCCCCCCGCCAGCTGGGCCATGCGATTGCAGGCCCGCAGCTCTGACATACGGGCAGTCTGCTTGTGCGTGGGGTGGGGGTGGGGGTGGTGTGTGTGTGTGTAGGGGCCTTGGCCCGCCCCAAATCTCATCTCCAAGGAAGACGGCCGCCCCCCCCCCCCGCCCGCCCGCGCCTTCGAAGCCCGGGGTAAGCATAGGGCCCCCCTGGCCAATCGCCTCCGACGTGGGCTCCAGGGGGAGGGTGCAGCTTTTCTTGAAGGGGTGGGGGGCCGCTTCTCTACTCCCTGGATCTCCAAGTGCTAGACATTGAAGGTCCACGCCGTGGGCGTGAGACCGCGCGGCCAGAAGCGCGGCCCATCCTGGCGCCCCTCGCGCGCGTCGCCTTGGAGATCCCAATGCAAGCCCTCGTCAGGCAGATCGAAAGTGCCGCGGCACTCCCAGATCTGGTGGAAAAGGGGCTCTTCGCACTCTTGGCACCTGGGGCATAACTGGGGGTTCCAAGCTTCAAGAATGGGCGGGGCACTGTGGAGCAAGGCCTGGTCGGCCTCCCTCTCAACCGTGCCCCCCCCCCTCTTCTTCCGAGAGAAAGTCCTCCTCCTCCAAAAGGCACCCCTCCGGGTCATCGAAAGAAGCGGGGGCCCGCGGGGGCCTCGGGCTGTCCCGGGGCGAGGAGGCAGCCGCAGCAGCAAAGGCATCAGCAACGTCAGGGCAGCCGTCGGGGGGGAAAAGGGGCGATGCGGGTGCCCCCGCGGCCTTCGCAGCCAACGCGCCTCGCTGCTGGCAGCGGGGCCCCGGCGGCCACCGGGCGCAAAACTCCTGCTTTATCGCATTCCTTGCGGCGCGCAAGGGGGCGCTGCTTCAAGACAGTGAAAACTGCGCCGTCCTGCGCGCTCTTACCGCGCGGATGAAAACTGGATGCGCGAATCCAACGCCCATGATCTAAAGCTTGCTTGCTCTCAAAATTGAGCAGATGCTCTCTGTCAAGCTCTAGCATGTGAAGAACTTCGCCTCTTGGGGCCCTCCAAGGAGGCGGTGCCGCGGGGGCCCCGCTGGAGGTCCATGAGGCCGGCGACGACAGCTCCAACGAGGCCTTTGACTCGGGCCCAGTGCCTAGCGGCAGCCTGCAGGTGCGCGGCCGCCCTGCCCCAGACGATCTCAACGGTTCGCGTTCGCTCAAGCATGTGGGCCAAAAACTTTAGCCACGCGGTGGAAACCTGTATTCTCCCCTGAACCATTGTGCCACCTTGTTCTTCGAAGCCCAGTCTTATGCAAACGGTTGGGCAGCCTCCTGGTCTCCTGCAACCCGTGGGGCCTGCAACCGAGCCCCAGAGTTTCGAAAGCGTGCTGGGGCTGAGGCCTTGCGCCATCTGCCCGTGGGTGACTGCGGGTCTGTGCCTAGTCTTGGCCAGGGCCCGTGCTCGGGGAACTGCCCTAATCAGTTCGGCAATCTGGACGGCTCGCTTTTGACCTTTCTCAGCGCGGCCTTTGATGACAGAAGTAGCACGCCTGGCCGCGTGGCCATCCGCGCCCAAATCCCTGACCTGCATGGGGCACTTCAGCGGCGCTCCAGCCGCGGCTAGGGCGCGTGAGATCTCTTTGGCGAGGCGAGGCGGGTACGTGGCCAGTGCTGACTTGCTGGGAACTTCGAAGCCATTTTTGTTGAGTCTGGTGGCCGAACCTATCGCCGCCGCCTTGGTGCGAGAAACAGCATCCGCCTCCCGACCGATCTCCGTCTGCCCGAGGTCGTCAACCCACGTGGAAAGGCCTAGGGGTCTAAAACCAGCGCGCGTGGACTCTCAAACCTGCCAAAGAGAAAGCTTTGCTAGGTCCACGCTCTGGTTGCAGCCAACGAACCGGGACCTATCTGGGCAGCCTAGTTTGGAGATAGTTCCTTCTGCTCGGGGCCTCCTCGGGGTTCGGTGGACGGCCAAACCGAGCGCAAGCGCTGCAAGGGGATCGCCGACCCGCTTGGCCACGCTGGCCACCTGGAAAAGCCGAGCATGACCGTGGAACTTGTCCACTCCCCAAAGAATCTCAGCCCATGAGAATCCCTGGGCCGTTGCCGTCTCTAGTTTACATTGTTGAAGAGGCCCTGGGACACACAAATAAATACACACAAATAGCAATATTCCCAATAGTTTTCCATATTTTCCGGGTTTCTGTCTTCCCCCCCCACTTCCCATATTTTCCCATATGTTCCTGGGAATCGACGATTCATTGTGTCTGTTTTTTTCCCCTCCTGAGTCTTATGAGTGCCGCGCGGAGCGATGAGCTTCCTCTCGCCACCCTGTGCCAATGCTGGGTCCGTTGGGCACCCCATTCAACCATCTCCCATCTCCGACCCCCCCCCCTCCCACGCCCGATACAATCCATGCCTCAGGGTTATGGGTCGATCGGCCACCTGGCTTTTGTGAATTAGCTGGACGAGGTTGAGGAAGACTTGAGGAGGCCAGGTCCCTGCTGCTTCTGGACTCTTGGGAACATCGAGGTGGTCCTCCAGACCTTCCTTGGGGAGCCTGCGCCACTAGTTCGGGTTCTGCGGATCAGCCCCGACTCCTACAACTCCTCTAAAAACTTGAAGGCCTCACACAACTGCTGCATGGTGAGGTCCTCGAAGGGCCCTCCACCAACCTCCAGAGAAAACTCTTCCCATCAGCCTTCAGGCCCCCCAAAATCCTTCGAGCACCACAGGGCTTCCCAGAAATTGGCCTTCTGATCAATGGCCTGTATGGGGGTCCCGTATGGTGCTACCACCAGGGCGCTTCTCTGGAGCAAGATCGGGCGTCTCTTCGCCCCATGTCTTGGTCCAGGCACGCAGCGCACCTGCGCCGTTGGGGAGCGACTGTCGGATCCAATCCTTGAACTTTTTATGTTGGTGCGCACGAGATGGATCTCAATGTTTTTGACTGCCCTACCGAGATGCTTGAGCTCTTTCTTGCAGCGCTCTACATTGTTGAAAGTAGCAATGTTATTGATAATGCGCGAGGTACGTTCCTCCCTCTCATGAGGCAGGAGACGTGGCAGGGAATTGACTTTCTTGAGGCAGGTGTCTACTATTCGCCAGGCATGCTCAACCTGCACTGGGTCCTTCAGCTTCTCGCGAAGGTGTAGCCAGTCTGCGACACGTGCGTGGAGAGTCGCCCACGCACTGAGCCCACGATACTCTGCCTGCCAGCCTCTCGCCGTCGTGGACACGATGGGGACCTCCATAATCTGGACTGCCCATCCTCGATGCTGCTTCTCCTCCGCCGCCTCCTCCTCCTCCTCCTTCTCCGCCGCTCTTCCCCATCGGACCTCGTCTTCTTCAATGCTCCTCACTTTCCTCGTCGTCGTCGCCCTCCTCCTCCTCCTCCTCCTCCTCCTCCTCCGCCTCCTCGTCTTCCTCAGTCCTTCCCCGCCGCTCCCGGCCAGGCCGCCGCCGGAGCGGCCGCCGTAGCGGCAGCCGCCGTGCTGCAGCTCCAGGCCCTCCGCCGACGGTGCCGCCAACGCCGACGCCGCCGCCGACGCTGAAGCGCAGAGGGCCAGGGCGCCGCGGCCGCGGCGCCTGGTCCTCCACGCGGGCGCGCTTGGCGTCGGGGGCTTGGACCGCGGGCGGGGTGTGCTTCGCCGCTTCGGAGAAGACCTGGCCGTCGTCGCCGCCGCCGCCGCCCGCCGCCATCGTCGCTGCTGCAATCGTTGCAACCCGCCGCCGCATCGGAGAAGACCTGGCCGCATCACCGCCTCGTCGCTGGTGTCTCCAAAAGCGGCGACAAAAATGGCGCAGTAGGGGCCCCACCACAAGAAACCTTCCACAAGCAACCCAACTCTGAGACCCCAGGACCGTCCATTGATTTTTGGTGTGGGACCGTCACGCTTTCCATAGCAAGATCATCGAAACCCAAGAGACCCAGGGCACTCTGGAGGCGAGCAGGGTGCTTCTTGGCATGGGTCTCCACTGTAATCGTGACTACCTACCAGACCACCCCAACCGAAATTTCGGGTTGTGGGGGGTGCGCATTCCATGTGTTTTTTTCCTATGTTCCCCGACCCCTCCCCACTGGAAATGGACGGAACAATTGAGGCCTTCGGGTTGGGTTGGGGTGGCTTGGTGGGTGGTGAGCAGCCATCAGAGAAGAAGATCGGGACAGTCGACGTCTGGAATCTCTGGCAGCTGGCGGGCCCAGGGAGGACACCATGGGCGCCGCAGCCGCCGCTCCAGAGCGTCCTCGAGCCCTCTGCAGAGCGTTCCCAGGCGCTCACGGCACGATTTTCTTGAGGCGCAACGAGCAGGTGAAGTCTGCGGTGCGAGCGGCAATGCGCCCCCCTGTTACATGCAGGTTTATCCCACTGTCACCTCACATTTCTGCAAAGCTACGCGCCTCGCAGCATAGAGACACAATGTGCAGCAAACAACGACTGCAGTGCGCAGGACCGATGCCCCCTGCTATTTGCGGGTGCATGCCGCTCTGCCCTCACAGCTCGTGCAGCAAAGCTACGCGCCAACTCGTTACAGCTAATGGCGATGCTGAGAAGGCAGCGGAGGCGCAATGCCGCGAGAAGAAGAGAAGATAGACTTAGCAGACTTGTGAGGACTCTTGGGGGGCATCCATGACCGTATTGGTGCTTTTTCTCTAAACAGCTCGAGAGATAACTGATCATGCTTTGCCCCGATATTCTGACCTACTTCGCAACGTAATGCGCGTTGCATGCTGGCGGGCATGGCATTGGTATAATGAAGAAGATGAAGAGGCTGAGGAGGGAGCAGAGAGGAATTGGGACATGGGCAAGAACGAGTGGCAAATGATGAGGAACAGCAGGCAACGGGTCAAACAATAAACCAGCCAGCCCAGGAAATGGGCCTGCAACAGCGCAGCTGCGCCACAGCAAGTTTGCGGCTCGTAGCGTTCAAACTTTCAAACATCAGAACCCAAAACTGGTTCGAAGCTTCGAAACTCGGGGTAACGAGCAAGGGGGACTGGCATAGGGGGAAATCATCGACCTGGAATCCGCGATACATCGCCGATAGATCGGCGGGGATAGGCCCCCGATAACGAGTCCCCATGTTCCTGGCTCTTCCCAAAGCTGCCTGGTCCACCTCGTCGTCGTAGGTCGTGGCTTCGGATCCGTACATTCGAGGATGCTTACTTTTTTGTGGGGGGGTCAATCCGCGGTCCCAAAATCCCTTGACCTTTCCTAGGGGGGCATCTTTCCGTCCGGAACCGTTGCTGCGTAGGGGATCGTAGAGGGCAGCTGGGGATTTTCCATGGGGCATACATGATCCTTGCCTCTTGGGGTCTCGCGAGTCCTCGTCGGGGCTGTCATGAACAACCTTGGCGGCGTTCGTGCTGCTCTTGGGCCTGATGGGGGCCCACTTGGGGGCCTCTTGTCGCGCACTTGTGCTCTCTTCGGGCTTCTGGCGCTCTCCGAAGAGCCCGCGCAAGCCGTTTTCAGAGGCTGCGGAAGAAGCCCGAAGGCCCCGGACCCCGTTCCCGGGGCCCGGTCCCGCCATGGAGAAAGGAGGCCTGGGACAGACCCATGCCACACGGATCCCACAAACAAAACAAATCTTCGGGCATCTGATCGTTTGTTCGTGTGGAGGCCTTCACGCTGGGAGCATTGAAAAGCGCATTTGCTTGTGCGAGGCTCTCTTGGCACCATCCTCAGAGGGCACTCATGAAACCACCATTGAACAATGCAGGCCCATCTTCAAAACTGGTATGATACGCGCATGTGTTTGTCTGTTTGCCTGGGATGGGAGAGGGCGGACAGCCACTGGCTGACACACTAAGCACGTACAAGTCTGAACTCTGAGACTCGAAAGCTTGACTCTGACGAGGTTCGCGATAGAGATGCATCAGCCTGGCGTGCACTTGCCTGATCGGTCACCCGAGGGTGCGTGCGCGAGGTGGAACGACATGTAGTTTTTGTTTGGTTCAGCACGAAGCTGCCAGCCGCCAACCTTCTTAGATAATCAACTGCTTCAAGGACTACGCCTGTACATCCACGCACTTAGGCACTGCGACACTGGCGCAAAACAAAACAAACTGTATTTGAACAAGCCCAAGCATGTATAGGTTCGCGCATTCGCGGCCTCGGATCACTGCTGTCAGACGGTACGGGAAAAGGATAGAGAACATGAAAGAGAGAGGGACAGAGAGAAAGAAAGAGAGAGAGAAGAGCCCCAACATGAAGGCGGGACTACCAAGCAAATACCTCTGGCACTGCCCGCCCGGCACAAGGTGGTTCGCAATCTGTGTCCACAGTGCGGGAAAACTCCCATGAGGCACTTTATGCCCATCGGTGTCATTGGCCATGCGGCACAGTTCATGCAAGGGAGAAACGCCCTTAAATGTAGACAGTACGGCAATCTCAACAGACACACCAAGAAATACAGACCATACCAAATCCCGCGATACGAAACCTAAGGACGCATCAGTCGTCCATCCGGTCACCGCCGAAAGTGTCCACGTTTCCTACGGGCTCCCTAGAAGAGCATGTCAGGCCCATCCCTCAATCCTTCTCCCTCCTCCTTCTGTAGAGGCAGCCATGGGGGCTGAGCTTGGTGGGTCCCGAAAAAATCGGTCCAGACGGGGGGATGGTGCAATTTTGCACCCCGCTCCCAGAAGCCGACCAATACAGCGAAACCGCTCGGAACCAACACCTCTAACCTCTTTCCCCCCTCCCTGCTCGCTGGAACCAGTGCCTGGGCAATATCAGACCCCCCAGCTGGCTCCAACCTTCAATCTCTCCTCTTCTCGGGGAGTTAGACTCGGGTTCAGGGACTCGGGTTGGCCTGACGGGGCCGTCAGGATTTTTTCGCTCCAACGAAATGAACCAATGACCCTCTGTACAATGGACATTTTGCAAACAATTACCCTGTGACGTACCCAACCCATTTGTATCATGGGAAACGAGGAGTTGGCCGAAACTTGCACAGACCATCAAATTGCAGGATCCGTTGTTTGATATGTAAGCTACTTGGGACACGCGCCAATGGCATGATGCGCAGGAGAACCATACAAGAACGAGGGGCGACAACTACAGGCTCGAAGAAGACATGGGGAGTCGGGAACGAAGAGCAGGAGAAAGACGTGCGGGAAGCCCACTGTGCTGGGCCCCTCAGCAGCCCTCGAAAGTGGAAAGTGGCGACCGTTTCACAGATCGCAGCCTCCCAGGGATGGCGAGGTCTAGTATGAGGTTGCGGTGAGTAACCCACTGTGCTGGGCCCCTCAGCAGCCCTCGAAAGGGGCGACAGTTTCACAGATCGCAGCCCCCCAGGGATGGCGAGGTCCAATCTGAAGAAGAAGAAGAAGCACGCCGAGGCGGACCAGTCACGTGACTAACGACTCGGCCCAGCAGGGCGGCGCTCGGGCTCAGCCTAGCCCATTACCGCTTGCGCCACCTGCTGGGCCCTCCTGTGCCCGAGCCAGCTCCCGCTGGCGCACTCTCTCCTGAAGTGCCGCCAGCCGTGATTCGTACTGATACGAAGAGGCTGGGTTGGGCCGCGCGGAGACACTGGTCGTCTCTCTCCGAGGGGCGCGGCGTGTGGGCGCCACTCGGACGGCAGGTATCACAGAATCGATGGAACGCTGGAGCTTGCGATGAGGTCCGACGCCACGCCTCAAGTTCCGAAGGATCTCAAGACCCTTGGGCGTCGGCCTGATGCAAGGTGACCTCAACTTGCTGCGGCGCCTCTGTTGGGCCCACGCTCCACATCTCGTACAAACAAAAACAGGTCGATCCACACTATCCGAGACCGACTCGCACCGTTCGCCAGACTGGTGCACAGCAACGAGACAGTGGCCGTTCGGCCGAGCGAAAAACGCACTGAGGAAGGCTGGGGTTCCCCTGCAGCCCACTAAGGGCCAATCAACAGCATTGTCATGCAGAACAGAGAGGCAATACTTGCACTGAACTCCTAACTCCGTCCTGCACCAATCATGATGTCCCTCAGTCCTCACGTTTCTACTCCTCTTGAATATCGGTGCCCTCCTCCACCTCTCCTCCTTCTCGTAGCAGGGCAGGGTGGCGGAGATTAGACGCACAAGGTTCCTCGTCGCCTCCTCGTGCAGCCCAATCTGCTTACAGAATTCGTGACGAGGAGCGGGGTGAAGAGAAACAGCCATCTTCGCGAATCTGTCAGCAGCAATGCTCGCATCTGTTATTCTTCTTTGTTCAACATTTAGCAGAGCATATTGTTCGCTCGTGTGATGTGCTTTAACATGTTCTGCTGCTGCCAGATATTCACGACCAGGAAGGCTCTGACCAAAGACCTGAACACATGCATAAATGGAACGTGATTCTCTCTGGCGCTGAGGAGACTCCCGCGCCTCGAAGACTGCGCCAAGGAAATCAAAATACATGGTTGCAGGCCGATCTGCGACTTGGCCACAAAAAGCCAATCCCAAATACTCGGCAATCACTGATGTCTGGGGCAGGGCAGGAGGAACAGCCCCATATACTGCAAGAAGTGGATCTGGGCCAGACGGGTTCAACAATGCGATTGCCCATCCAGCCCTCTGTAAATCACGAAGAGCGGGTTTGCTGCAAGAACCATCTGGAGCAAGTTCGATCACCTGCGCCTCTGGACATGCAGACTCCACCATCTCCTCAGGGTTCAAATCCTGCACCTCTCCAGCCATG